CCCCTCCTTTAAATTGTGGGAGTCTGGTATTTTAGTGCAGCAACAAAAAAGTTCATAAACACCAAAAATTGATATCAGAGAAGAGGGGTCACTGCTATTCCTCTACCTGACCATGTGGTTTACAGGTGGAATTCCGAATATTTTCAAAAAGTGGGCTAGAGAAGCCCTGGAGTACTATAAATAGAACTTTATAGGTGACTTTGATTGAAGCTGTGAAGACCAGGATATTGACAGGAATGCAGATAGTAAAGGCCAGGCTCAGGAGGTTTCAGTTGGGAACAAGCACTCTATTGGTAGTTGAACTAGAGGCCATGTGTGTTATACACTGGCTGAAAATTTGTCCACATTTTGTGTTCTGAGACTGCAGTAGACTGAGATTAAGGGTAGTAGAAAAAACTGGCAGAGGAAATTTCAAGACAACCTAACATTCAGAGTAGATATGGATACTGCGGCTGCTTTTAGCTTGATATCTAGTGAGAATAAGGGGCAAAAGGCAGAGTAGGAAAATAGGAAAAACTTAAATTTTAGCCTAAAAAGAACCATATGTGAAGTTCAGATCAAAGGTGATATGGTTGTTTTGAGAGATAAGCACCATTAAAAAGAAACCAAGTATTTTGTAAAGGAATAAGAAGAAAGGTGACCTTGAGAGCATCTCAGGAATCTGCAGGAATCTTCCCAGTGCAGGCTCAAAGGTGTAAAACTATCACTTTTCATTTGAGAAGAGAGTTTCTTGGACTCCTAATGAAGAAGGGCCTCCTAGGGAATTGGTTCCCTGGGATTCATTTCACTGTGCTCAGCTATCCAGGCATTCAGAAGCCACTGTAGTCATGGTCCAAGGGGCCCTGGCTACTGTTTGTGCTGACAGCAGACCTTGGTGTCATTCATGTGATTCTGGTTTAATTGGCATGTGGAATGCAAGAGTTGGGGGGTCAGGAAAATTTCAAACATAGATTTCAAAAGGAAAGCCTGGGAAGCCATCCAGGGCCCCCCTGAGAGGGCAATACGTAAAGCTGTGGGAATGGAGCTGAAATGAAGACTCCAAGAAGTCAGAAATGCCAGGAATGTGAAACATCAGTGGAGGAAAACTGCAGGCCATGAGTAGAGCCAGCCTAAGAGAGGCCTCATGATCAGGATACAATTGGCAAGGCAATAGGGGTGGGACCACCCATGCCCTTTGGAACTCAAATTTTAACACCATGTGCTACTGATGCTAGAAAAGGAGTTACATGATTTGTTTGCCCTGTTATTTTTTGTTTTGTTTTGTTTTGGTCTTCTTTGGTCCTATTCTTTTCTATCACCCGATTCCTTCCTTTTGGAATGGGAATGTTTATCTTGTTTTGCTGCACCTTGGGATTATGTAACTTGTTTTGACTTTTTGCGGAGGTTCACAGCTAAGAGTTTGCTTTGAGTCTCAGAAAAGACATAGATTTGGACTTTTGAAAAATGCTGGATCTTTTGAGACTTTGGGGAAGGGATTATTGTGTTTCCAATTGTGCGTGGGACAGTTGTATCATGTTAGGCAGCATTATGAACTTGTAATTGCCTTTATTTGGAGATTAAGTATAGTTTAAGGAGATGTGTTTGGATGTGAAGTTGAAAAGGAGTGGATTATGACCGTTTATACTGAAATGTCGATTTCGAATTAAGAAATGCCTAGTAGATTAGTAAGTAGAACACAATCATAGGTGAATGGGTGTTTCATGGAAGCATGGCCTTGAGTATTGTATATGATCTGTCCATACTCATTTCTCTGGCATGTTCCTCAGCTCTGCTCCATGGCCACCATGCACTAAGCAGCTTGCTCCACCATGCCATTCTGCCATGAGGTTTCTGCTTTGGAGTGTGTTGACCATGGACTGAATCCTCCTAAAACAAGCTTAATCTGGCTCTCCACCTTTAAATTGTGGGTGTCAGATATTTTGTTCTGGTGACAGAAAAGCTAACATAAAAATATAGAGGCTTCCTGTACACTCTGCACTGCTTCCCAATGCATTCATCACAAATAATGGATCAATATTATTATTAACTGAAATCTATACATTTTTCAAATTTTCTTAGAATTTACTTAATGTTCCTTTTCTGTCCTAAGATTGCAAGCTAAAAGTCTCATTACATTTAATTTTCAAATCTCCTAGGGATCCTTTCAACTGTGACAGTTTCTCACGCTTTGTTTTTGACAACCTGGACCCTGTACCTCCCATGTACCTAAAAGAAAATACATAAGGAAATGTAATCCAAATTATAAGAAGAAAGTGTCAAAACTACAGCCATGGTGGGAGATTTTAATAGTCCTTCCTCAGATTTGATAAATTCAGCAGGCAAAAGCTTAGTAAGGCTATTACTATTTGCATAACACAATTATCACCCCAGGGCTAATGCAGATACATATTTAGAGTGCTCCAAACTGTAGAACACCCATTTTTTTCAAGCACACATAAAACATTTACAAAGATTGACCACTACTTCTCCACAGACCGTGTTTGGGCACACATAAAATCAAACCATGTTCCCTGACCACAGCACATAAGTTAGAAATTAATTACTGAAGATAATTAAAAGCCCACACATATTTAAAAATAAAAGAACCTATATAAATAATTAATGGATCAAAGGAGACATCAATATTGAACTTAGAAAATATTTGGCATCAACTGAAGAAAAATGTGTCACCCCTCTTTAGATGCAGCTAAAACAGAAGTTAGAAGGGAAATTTGGGCCTTAAAAATTTATATCATAGAAGAAGAAAGTTTTTTTAAATTCAATGCACTGAGACTATTTCTTATAAGTCAGAAAAAAATAAACCAATGAAGTGGGGGAGGACATTTAAGTCAGCACGGTAAATGAAAGCAAGCATGAAAGACCACTACTGTGTAGGGCTGTCTGTCCAGAGGCCCCTGTACACAGTGCATGCAGTGACTAGATACACTGTGGAAAAAGAAAGCTTGTGACACACCTTACACATAAACAGTCAAGTCCATATTTCATAATATTATCTAATATGAAGTTACTAACTGCCTCAAGAATGTCTTTTACAGACATATTTATTTTCTTTCTTTCGCTCCCTTCCGGATTTGTGGCTGAGCTTAGTTATTATGTCATATTTCTTACACTTCTTGTAGCTTGGACTTTAAAGGAGTTTTCTGACATTTAAAAGAAGAGATTGACTTTTTCAAGAGTTAAGGCTGTGTCTGTATTAGTCAGCTTTCCTGTAGATAGGACAAAATACCCAACATCCACAATTTACAGGAGGAGAGGTTTAACTTGGCTTGTGGGTTTGGAGGACTCAGTCCATGATAGGCTGAAACAGCATGGTGGATATGCATGGTAGAGGAAAGCAGCTCTATCTATGGCACCCAGAAATCAGAGAGAGAAATGTGGAGCTGGTTAGGGTGATTCCACTGGCACACCTCTTTCAACCAGGCCCCACCTTCTAGCAGCACATTTAGCCACAAACTATCATAACAGCCTCTTGATTCAATCATCTTCCAAAATCTCCACCACTGAATACATGAGACTCTGGGGGAACACTTTGGGTCTAAACCATAACATTGTCCTTTAGAATATCCTACATCTAGGATTTTTCTGATTATTTATAGTGTCAATTAACTTCTTCTGCCCATCATATGTTCTATAAAATGGAAGTTAAGTATAAAGGGATCAATTATATTCAGATTGAACTCTTTGACACAAGAAGATATCACCAGAAATTTTGTGAATTTGGCACTGTAGGACATAGAGAGGCACTAATGCTCAACTACTCCATCATTAGCGACTCACAGTTTGGTCATTTGGTGAGTGTGTTGTACATCAGGTCTTTTATTGTAATGGTATTATTTCCCACTTGAATTATTCATGGGTGTGGTGATAGTTTGGCACTGTAAGAATATCCTATTCTCCAAAACTTTTTACCTAAGCATTTTAGCTTTCTTTGATGATCACTGCCTGAATCAATGATTATATCTGGGTTTATAAATGATGATTTTCTACTTCTAACATTTCTTTATTAACTTTGGGACACTGGGTGTGTTTCAAGGAGTTTATGTTCTTCTGCATGCAAAGTAGACACAATGGAGCTTTTATGTTGGGAAGGTTGGAGGAAAAGGGAGAGACACAGGCCTTTTGTGGAATTTGTACCAAGATTTCAGAGCTCCAATATTATTTCATCTCTGAGTCTCCTTATGGAGATAGGGACTTTAATCTGGAAATTCCTTCTAATTAAGTGAGACCTGTAAAGAACACAAGGGGCTAGCAGTCTGGCTACAAGGCTTTCCCATGAACAAATGTATTGACCTAATGTATTTATATAAAATACATTATATAATATACACACATACTATGTAGTGATATATGATATGTATATGCATACATATATCATACAAATACAAAATGAAAGGAAGCCTGAATATACAATAATGTAAAATCCTAATATTTATGACCCATAGATTCTACTTTCTGGAACTTATCTTAAGGAAAATTCCAAGAAAATGTGCAAGAACATATCTGTAACATCTCAATGTGTTTTCTTTTCTAAATTACACAAAATATTAATGCCAAGCAGGAGATATTGGTTCATGCACAAATGTTTGTGCAGCTATATAATGGATAATGTGGAGCAATTGAAAATGCTATGGAAAAAGTATATTTAATGACAATGAAAAATTTCCAGTGTGTAGTAGTAAGTAAAAATAGGTACAAGAACACAGACCAATTCCCTTTCAGAAATTTCTAGGCCCCAGTAGCAGATGTACATTTATGGGGCTTGGGGGCACCAGACGTCACATAAAGATTTTTTCTTTCAGGAAAGATATAAATAAAATTAATGTAAAAGACTCTATTTTTCTGCCCAACAGCATCTACACCACAGTTTTTTCATCAAAACGCCCGGTACCTGTAAACTTGGTTTCTCCGTTCACCTCTTTCCTCCTCTACGCTTCCTTCAAGCTCTGCTCAAATTAACTTCATTCCGAATAATGAGCAGGAGGGAATTCCGCAGAACTCACCAAGGAGGCAGAGGAGAAGACTGACGTTCCTCAGCACAGGCACCTGCTTTCGCCTGCAGTCTTCCCATGAGACAGCGCTTCCTGCAGCCCTGCTTCGTACTCGAACTGTGCACCTTTCCTCGTGCAGTCTCTTGCATGCAGTCTTCTGCCTCCTGGAGCACTTCTCTGAGGCCTCTTAATCTCTCCTGTTCCCAGGCAGAGCAATCCCCAGCTTCCAGATCCTTTCCAAATCTTTCATATTGACTTTCAACAGGTCTAAGAAAGCAAGAATGAAAGATTTCATCTATCTTCAGTAAAGATCCTTCAGTTACCTGGAGCTAAACTTCTACGCAGTACTTTTCCCCAGCCAGCCATGTATTAATAAGGGTTCCATAGTTAATATGTGTTTTTTACGTAATGATATAGAACGCAAGAGAAAAGAGGCAGCCTTTTCCACAATTTAGTCTGGAGCAGGTACTAGTCAATGTCCACTGTCCAGGTTAGAGATGAGTGAGAACTGGAAGGCAGGTCCCGTGCACAGAAGGCTCAGGACTCTAGGGATAAGGGCAGAGGCTTGAGCCAGGGATAAAGGCAAGTTCCTGGAACTGAATTTGAGGTGGGGAATTAAAGTTTCAGTTAAGAGTCTATTGTTTTAAGCATCAGAAAAAGAAATTAAAATTTAAGCAAAACCTAGAATGTATTGGGTCATCAAATAGAGGTAATAAGTGTGATTTGACCCAAGGCTCATAAATGTCATGACATTTAAAAAAAAGTTTTCTGTTCCCCTTCCCTATTTCAATGCATTCTTAGGGAGACTGCTCCCATAAAGTAGTCATAGGGCTGTAAATCAGGTGAAGGAATATGTTTTCCTTCTAGCACTTCCAGGAAAATGGGGTGTCTTAGAGCAAATGTCTGCCAACATGGAGGGGATTCATGCACTCACTGTTGGCTCATGCGTGGGACACGTGTTTCACCCACAAACATGAAGGTCCAAGGAAAAGAAGAAGAAGAATGGCTGGATCCTTAGAGAAGAGTAGCATTGTTGCCAGAAGACTCAAGATGGGTATGGGGGAGTTACACGGCAAATATTCCCCACATGAATCTTAAGCACAACATCAAGAAGTGCTGAATGGAGCTCCAGTCTGGGGCAGGGCTGTGCTGTCTAAGGCTTATTTCACTTCCCTGAGGTTCTTAGTGGGTTTAAAGTGGCTCTGCTTTTAGGGGAAAGAAACATAGGATGCAGGCTGGTCCTGACAATTGAGAAACTGAAACTGACTTCAAAGTCAGAAATAATTTACCTAACCCTTCCCTATGTAAAAAGCTTAGGGAGAGTTTTAATGAAGTAATATGTGAATGCTATTACTAGAATGGAACTCTTTTAAATAAAGGTTCTGATTCCTAATCTGTCCCAGAGGGATTATCTTCAATATATAAACCTTTCAGACTAATAATCTTAAAAGTCCTCATGAATACCAGTTTTCTAAAAGCTATAGCTCTTCTGACAAACTCCTGACTTTTTTTAATTACATGAAATTTTGATAAGGCAGGTAAAGAAGTAAGATTGATAGGTGATATTTTCCAGATGTATTTTAATTGAAAGTTTTCCAGGCCGCTTGCCTATTTCACAATTCACAATGTTTTTTAGAAAATGTTATGCCATTTCAATCTCGTTTGCAAACCTCCTTGTTCGTGAGCTATAACCATTTTATAAGAAAAGGAGAAACGATAAGGAGAATTGTACCTCCAAACCTGATGGCTTGAGATCAAACCCCCACTCTACCTTGTATTCATTTTGTGACTGAGAATATTTATGTCTCTGACAGTTTTTATCATCTGGCAAAGGAAGATAGTGATACTAAAATACAGGCTAACTGCAAAGATTAAATGATAAAACTAAAATAAAATACTTAATACAGTCTCTGGTACATAGAGAACGGTCACTAACTTACTTCCCATCGTCATCTTTGCTCACTTCTCCCAGGGCAGGGGTCATTTTCCCTCGTCTCTGTACGAGGGAGTGCTGCATCCCAATGTGGAGAAAGCATCTCATGATTGTTAAAAATGATGGAGAAACATTTTTTAGATCTGATTTTATTTCTTCTTTTTAAAGAATAGCTACAAAATTCACTAGAATCTGTAGGTTATGTTCCAAGTAGGAAGATAACTACTAGCTGAAGGGCACCAGGCAAATTGGGAGAAATTAAAGTGCCATTCCAACTGTGATGGAGGTGGCCATTTCTTCCCACATGCTCCCTGTTCTTGTACCTTGAGAACAGAGGTGACAAAACACAGCCCACAGTCCAAGTCTAGCTCGCCTACTGTTTTGTTGTTGTTTCTTTGTTTATTTGTCTTTGGTACACCCTGCATAGTAAGAATGAGACTTCTATATCTTAAAATTATTGAAAAAATCAAATGAAGAATATTTCATGACACATAAGTGTCATAGGAAAGCCAAATTTCAGTGCCTATAATGTGCATTTTACTGGAACACAGCTGCACCGCTTCATTTGTGGATTGCCTAGGGCAGTTTCTATATTACAATGATGGGAATAAGTAGTTGTGGCAGAAACTCGATGGTTAGGAAACCTGAGAATATTTCCAACTTAGCTCTTTACAGAAAGCTTGCCAACCCCTGCTCTAGAACATCCATGATCAAATTCTACTGCATCTATTTCCTCCTACCAGTCTACAGAACCCATGAGGATTGGGAGTGATTCTCTTTCATCTTTGTGTCTTTGGAACCTAGTACAGTGCCTGGTAAACAGCAGGTGTCTGTACATTTGTGGAGTTTCCCCTATTCGAGAACCTCAACTAAGGTGCCTTCTTACTGTAATCTGCAGTACATGTAACTCAGGGGCCCCAGCTTCCAGCCATTCTTTGTAGCCTCTGGCATTTATGGGTCTGATAACTGTAGGTGTGGCAGAGTCCGTTGAACTTTTCAGGTATCTAAAAACTAAAGAGAAGGGACATTGGAAGGCCTCTCTCCTCCATATGATAGTGCTGTATGGGAAGGAGCCCTGGGTGCTGCGACTTGCCCTAATGGGGTTGAATCCTGGACTAATGACTTTCAAGTGTGACCTGGGCAGTAAACAGCTTCCTTCATCTACTGTACAGGTATGGTTCGTGCCCCAGTACCTCCCTGGATCTCTGTTACCTTGGAACATCTCTGTCCATAGGAGGACATGGGCTACGTCTGTGTCATTCAGCATTGTATGTCCTGGTTAGCAAATGCCTTGGCATGCTGGAAACCAGAGGTTCTCATCTGTGCCTGCAAATTAGAGTCACCTGTGGAGCTTTACTAACCACCAGCTCAGAGCCAGCCCCAGACCAATTAGAGATCTGGGAAGGGGCCTAACATGGTTTTGTGTTTTAAGCTGTACATGTGATCCTCATACTTGGCCAGTTTTGAGAGCTGAGTTTCTGCAGGGTTCAATAAATAGTTCCTGAAGGAACTGAGAAAAATGAAGCTCCTCCCACAAGCATTTTCCCTTTGAACAAAGAAGTCAGGATTTCTGCATCAAGGACACAGTGTGCTGTTTTTCCCCACCCTGATCGAATCATTCTCTCTCCCGCTCACAGAGGTCTGATTGCAGCTGCTTCACCCTTCAGTGCTGATAATCCCTGGTTATTCATCTGACCCTTTGTGGCTCCTGCCTTTTGTTCTCCACTCTCTTTTCATATCGATCCTTGTCAGTTTCCCTCTTCTCTAATCTTCTCAGCCTTTGCTTCTTACTGCTGCTAAGTTCACTGGTAGCATTTTCTTGCTGCCAATAACACCATGTACTTTCAACTCTTCCCATTTTTGTATTACTGCTAAATTGGTTGTACCCTGTACTTCATATTGGAAAAGAAATCTCTAGACTCTCTGTTCTTTACTAGCAAATAGTTGGTCTTTGGAAATAAGTATTTGCAGAAAGTTTGAGCTGGTTGAAGAATTAAGATCCCAGTTTATAGAGAAGAAAACTGATGTCCAGAGCGAGAGGAGCAGCCTGCCTGCCCTGAGTCACAGAAGGAACTCATGCCAGGGCTAGCACCAGTCACAGATTTCATCGCCTCCTGTTCATAGTTTCTTCAGGCTGGCACCTTGATACCCATGTCCCTAGCTTCAGGGGACAACTACTCTCTGTCTCTGGGTTGGCACCTTTCCAAAGCTGCACCTTGCCAGATTCTATTAATTTGATCACTCAAGGAGAAGGGAGTGTTGGTGGTAACCACGTATAGTGTTAGAGAGACTGACTGACCTGGCATTAGTGACACTTCAGGGGCTCCACCCCTGCATGCCTAGGCCGCCCAATACATAGCCAAGGAGAATCAGGTGGTGGCAGATGTCCTGGGAGAAGAGGAGCAGTAGGAGAGTTCTTCCCCACTGCCACGTCTAGGTGCCCCCAACAATGACATGGGCATAAAGGGTGTCCACTTTCCTTACCTGCAGATCTATACCATCCAATATAGTCACTTCTAGCTACAATCACAACTGATTCAATGAAATAAAATTCAAATTCCATTTCTCATTTGCACCAGCCACATTGAAAGTCTTTGGTAGTTACTGAGTTACTGTATTCAAGGCTGCCATGTTGGCTAGCATAACTATAGGACATTTTTACATGGAGGAATGAAAATTCTATCAGATTTCAGCTCCAAGCACTTGGGTAAGATAATTTTGCATACAGAATGAATGCTGCAGCTAAGGAGGGTTAAAAAGAAGCCATGCATCTCCCTCAGGTTCTGGATACCCATACCCTTCCTGGCATCTTCATTGTTTTATGATCCCACCAGACCACGAGCTACTTGGAAGCAGTGTCTATCTCTGATTAATTTTATGTTCCCACAGAAATGAGAGCAGGGCCTGACACTTGATAGGCTTCAGTGAATGTGCACTAAATACAAATTGTAATTTAATGTTCTTTATCTAGTACTAGCAAGAAAACAGCTATATTCAATTCAGTGGTAACAATCTGTCTTTTTAGTAGAGAGGAACAAATGTTAAAACTGGCAGGTGATGAAGTGAGAATCAATGCTGAATTCCTCTCCTTTTTGGGGAGAAGGCTTTGAGTCTTTGGAGATGGGGTAATGGACAGTGGGGCAGGAAGGCTGAAGGGGTGACCCCAGTTCCCTGCAAATATAAGTTCACAGATGTGGGCGCTATGTCTACTTGGGGACTACTTCTACCTCTTGAGCAGGGTTTTGGGATAGAGTGTGGGCCAGCAATTCTAGGCCTGCAGGCAATGAAGAGTGGTGTGCGAGGAGAACATCGATGAGCTGCTCTCTGATACTCAGTGTCTCTCTGAAGTCCAGCACGTCACTGTAACTTCTGTCCTACCCAAAGCACAGGCAGCACTGAGTGAGGCAAAAGAGAGGCCAAGCCCTAGGAGAACCTTTGAGGCCTGAGCTAAGTAAGTCACAGTGAGGGGCAGTGCTCTAAATGGTAACTGTGAGCACATTTATTAGATGACAGCGACAGGCCTGGTAAAAGCCTCTTCTGGAAATGCAATTCTTTACACTTGGCCACTGACACTAGTATTTGTACTTGCTAACCAAGTGTCTTGTTGAATCTAATTTATCTCAAGATTGATTAAAACCCATACACAGCCACAAACAATCTCAGGCAAGTCAATGCAAGTAGGTTCAAGAATAGGGCTTTGTTCTACTTTTAAAAAACGCTTCTCCTTTAGCATACCTCCAAGAGAAAATCATTTCCATTTTCCTTGTTAGCATGAAAAATATGAAAGTAGATGGGTAGAGATCAGAAAGAAAGAGGGTGGAGAGAATCAACTCGCAGTAGGAGCACATATGTGGGAGGCATTTAATATGCGTCATCTCGCTCTATCCTTCTAAAGGTGAGATGAGGCAGGTGCCTAAGGTGACACAGCTGGTGCACAACTCCTGAGAGACAAAGACAAATCTGTCTGATCTGTACATGCTGACCTCCAAGCCAATCAGAAACTGATGGAGCAAGGCAGAATGTGGACCTATAATTTCTGGCTGCAAATCTTAATCTTTCTCCGGTGCCCTCTGGGTACCTAAGCACTGCTTTGTGTTCTACAATTCACCCTAATCTCCCTGCTTTAAGCGATGGCTCACATCCATCAGTTTTCTACCAGGCAGGCTATAGCCAGCACATCTATGATGAGGCTGAAGTTTCCTTGTTCCCTCTAGGAAAATCCAGCTAATTTGGGGAGGTTTCTCTGGTCTGACATAATCTTATTCAAACATCTTGATCCTGTTTTGGATTATAGTTTTCCTGATTATTCTATGTAATTATGGCGACAAAGAAATGTTAATGTGCCCAAATAACTCAGCCAATTTTTATATTATCTATTTAACTTTGTACAATCCCTATCTAGTGCCATTTCCTTAGTATCTGGAGATCGATGACACATAGACCCAGCAGTATTTTTCTTATTTAGTTTTTCAAATTAAAATCCCTGCCAGATGTGCTTCGTGGCCAGAGAATTTTATAATTCAGTCTCCTCTTCCCCTCTCCCTTTCCCCTCCCCTCCTTTCCTCGTAAACGAAGCTGATGTTTGATTTTATTGACTGAGCAGAAAAAGCCAAGTGAAAACACTGAAGAGTCTAATGCCTTTAACACTATTGGCCAAAAGACATTGGTCAAGACATTTAGCCTCTCTGGACCCCAGTTTCTTCCATGAAGTGGGAATCACTGGGTTTATATTCCTTTTTTTCTCCTCAGGGATTAAGTTGGATAGTACACTTGGAAGTATATTGGAGTTGTGAAATTCTATTCAACTATTATTATTTAGAGGAGTCCATTTTTTTATTTGATGGTGGTAGAAGAGAAGAGATGCCAGATATGGGATTAAGATATAAATACTTGATTGGTTTTTGTCCTCATTAATCAGAGTGGTAACCTTTGATTCATTCTTCCATGTAGCACATGGAGTCCAGGAGCAGGAGGCCTGCTTGGGTGACTAACCCTGATGCCACTAGTCTTTTCTGGCCAAAACTTCAGCCTACCTCATGTAGGTTACCACCCAGCTCCCAGCAACCTTTAACCTGTCAAAAACACAACCAGACAGAAACGCAAGATACTTTTTTGTGACTCTTGACCCTGTCTCTCTCCACCACAGGCACAGATGCCAGGCTCTTCTAAAGCACCCTGAGTCGGAGTTTACTTAGCTGGTCTCTACTTTTCTTTCAAAAAATAAAAAATACAGAAACCAATTGCTGCATTTCCTGAGTTGCTTTCTCAATCCTATGCTTCCCTGCTTCTTCCAGAGGTTGTTGGTCATTTCCCAGAAGTCTTTTAAGTACTGCCAGCTTAGTGTGTGTGTGTGTGTGTGTGTGTGTGTGTGTGTGTGTGTTTGTGTGTGTGTGTGTAGGGTCAGCTCCATAATGTCAGCATCTCATGCTTGCCCTGTTCAAGTCAGTGCCTGGCACAGGGAAAGGACTAAATATAGAATTATGGAACCCATGCATGACTTGCGAGTGAGAAAGCCAATATGATGTAATGTTAAGAATCTCAGACTGTCAAACACGGCAATTTAATTGTAGCATTCAACAATGAGTTTTACTATCTGTGTGAAAGGAAACAAGACACAACCTAAAGGGCCTTCATTTCTGAGTCCATAGATTAGAGATAATGCCAACTTTCCTGTTTAGCTGAAAGAAATACTGGGAGGTTCAAATGAAGAAAAGGATGATGTGGTAGTTTTACATGCTAACTTGGATGGGCCATCATATTGTTATTTAATCAAACTGCATTAACCTCAGGGTGGCCATGGAAGTATTTGGTAGGGAAACCAGCTGATCTTAAGTAAAAGAAGTGGTCCCCCTATAATGTGGCAGGCCACATCGAATCAACTGAAAGTCTTTAGGAGCAAGAAACCCAACTTTTCCAGGGAAGGGAATCTCAAGCCTCTACAGTGCCAACACCTGCCAGAGTCTACAGCCTGCTAGTCTGGCCTACAAATTTTGGACAAGTCTCCATAGTCGGCCAATATATGATTATAAATAAGTCATATAATATATATATATATATATACTTCATTTCAAGGAATATATATGTATTCACCATATGCATGTTGTATATGTATGTATACATAAATATTCTCTGGAGGACACTGATACAGATGATGTAGTGCTGATCAATATACAGCCATAACCCGACGGACAGAAAGAGAACGGAGGGAGCCAGAACATTCACTGCTCGAACCGAGGGGCTGGGAGGCTGGGCGGGTGAGTACTGTGGCATCTCTGTCTTCCTTTGGAGATAAGCAGTGATGGGAGTGTCCCTGATGGTTTAGAGGTGCCACCTCCCCAGGTCCTGGCTGGGAGGTGGCTGGTACACACGCACAGTGCTGGCTGTGTAGGAAGCACATTTTAACAAGCAGGTTTCTAAGGTGGGGAGGTGGGGAGGTGGGGAGGGGAGGGCAGAAGAAGCAGCAACAACTGGCAGCTCCTGGTGCCCTAGCCCAGGAGGGAGGACATGGAGCTGTCTGTGTGGGTGTTCTGACTGACACCATCCTAATTAGTATGGGCCCCCTCTGGAGCTGGGGCTTCTTTTAGCAATGCCTTCATTAAAAGGTCTCCCCTAATCAGACAGCTGTGGAGCGTGCTTACAGGAAGAAGGTTCTTTGGGTTTGCAAAAGGCCTTGTACCTGAGAAAGAAGCCTCAGCTTCAGGTGAGGGAGAGAGAGCAGAGAGGGGTCTTCTTGCAGACACCGCTGCCCTCTGTCAGTCCTTCCATTTCCCCTGCACCTCTCCTCACACGCCACAGGCATTTTGTGTGACAGGTAGTAATAATCCCTGTGTGGCACATCAGACCCACACTTTTTGGTCAGTGAGGAGCAAAGCTTTGCAGAAGTTCTTAGCCAACTCGGTAGTTAGTTCATTTGGGACAGGGGCTGTTCTTTCTGGTGCTGCCTCCCTATATAAGAGCAGCAACGTTAATCATTCACCACGTGTGTACACAACTTACGGTTTGAAACTTGTGTTCACATCCATCATTTGCCGAGCACCTACTACGCACCGGTCACTGGGCTTGGCGCTGGGGCCACAGGTGATCACCTTGAAAGTAGGACCATATTCTACTCATCACACACACAAAATAGTCATTTAAAACATGATGCTGGGAAGAGGCACTGTGGCAGGCTGTGGGAGGGCATAGCCAACTGCCTGGAGAATCAGGGGATTCGAGAAGGTTTTATCAGGAGAAATGAGAGTATCGTTAGGCCTGTAGGAGAAGAAAATAATCACACATTAGGAATATGTGTATTATATATTGTAGGTTATACACACAGTTAGGGGAACCTTCAAGATATTCCTTTACTTCTCTATAGTTTCGTGATGAAAAGCCCTTTTTGGATCTACGGGTTCAGGGTGGGGTGTGTTATGTGACAGTGAGACAGTGACATGCAGATTCCGGGATGCTGCAGCAGCTGCGGGCTTTCTGCAAGGAGGTCTAAACTGATGGAAAGCTGGAGCAGAAGCAGCGTGAACTGGAGGCAGGGGCCTCTGGGATACAACACACTCTGCTGGGAAGTCAGATTTGACCTCGGACAAGACCTTTCCCTTCTGGACTTCATTTCCATCTCGTTGAACTGCTTCGGTTTTCTTCATTTAATACTGCACGCTTCTTTCCAGATCTGGGCAGAGAATTCCTAACAAAGATGTGAAACTGGGGGCAGCAGAGTTGTGCCCATTGAAGCAGTTCTTTCCCTTCTCCCCAGCAGAACCAGCAGCATCTCTTTGGCTCTTGGGCACTGAGAGCTAGTGCTTCCATGGAATTCAACAAAGAATCTGATTGTTCTTTTAAAAAAATGAGTAATATTTATCTAATGCTGTTTATCAACGTCTCTTTACAACAACCCCTTGAGCAAGATACTGTTGGCATCATCGTTTTAGAGACCAATAAAATGAAGCATGAAAAGTCTGTGACTCACCCAGGGTCATGCAATTATTAAAAGAAAAGATACAAACCCAGACAGCCTGGCTCCAAAGCCCAAGATAATAACCATTATGCTACACTGCTTTCTAAAAGCCCCACAAATGTGTTCCTTGACATTTGCTTAAGCACAACAAGCTACAGCTTCAGCTCATTTATTCTTCAGCATATAACAAAATAACCAATTGAAGAATTAAATATGTCATCTTATAACCTAATTGCCGTCCTAGAGAACAAAGTTATAATGGGGAGTTTGTTTTCCCGAATGTAGCTGGGCAATACATATTCTGCTGTTCTGAATCCCATTTCTTCTTGCCTTCTGCATATACCAGAGGCTTTATATTTTTCTATGATGAAGAGGAAGAAAAGGTGGTCCCCATAATCACAATACTTGCTGTTTGACTAACATTTACTAATTACCTGGCCTCCCCAAATCTAAGCAACAACAGCAGAAAAGATCTAGGGATCTCAGTATCCCAAAGAGCCAGCTAGGGCTTTGCACAGACTTGCTGTTCAGGACAGCCAAAGAAGGTCTGAAAGGGGGAAATATAAAAGCCCCTGCAAGGCCTCACCACCCAGTCTCGGCTGAGCTCCCACCTCTCATCTCCAGTCCTTTATTAATATATGTCTGTAATACATAATAATTTCATTCCTCTCAGGAATGGTCATATACATATCACAGCTCAGCATTTCACTCCCCCTTCTCCCTCCTTCCCCAGATTCCATTCCCATCTCCACAGAGTCTACCTCCCTGTTTCCTACCATCTTTCTTTTATTTTGCTCTTTAAGTTATTTAGATTTTGTGTTTCTCATATGAGAGAAACAATGCAATATTTAACCTGCTGTGTCTGATTTGTTTCACTTAGTATTATGGTCTCAAGCTCCATCCATTTTTCTACAACTAACTCAAATTTACCCTTCTTTATGGCTGAGTGTTATATATCGCATTTTCTTTATCTATTTATCTGTTGATGGACTATAGACCACTTCCAAAATTTAGCTATTGTGCTTCTATAAAGACCGGCATGCATGTATCAGTCTTTTATTTCCAGCTTTCAAATTCTCCTCTGGGATTCTGAGTCTCAAAATCCATCCTGCCCTGGTTTCCCCAGAACTCAGCTTGTCTATTGATTTGTCAGAGCCCTCTCTGCTCTGAGGCTCCTCAGCTTCCTGTGCCCCCAAGGAAACTCTCTCAGAGCTTTTCTCCCTTTTTTCTTCATCCTTGCTTTTGAAATTTTCATTCTTTATAATAAAGACACACTTTTTCTGCTATCTGTATTTGCACCCTATTTCCTCTCATGTCAGTAGCCCTTGCCAGTCTATCTTGGAGTGTAACCGTGTACTGTCCATGTGGGAGACTCCTCCTTTACCAGAGCTCTTTCTCCTCTCCAGACAATAGACACTTTTCTCTGTGTGCTGTCTTAGACCTTGAGCATGTTCGAGACTTTGATCACAATTCTGAGGCTGCATGCACCTCTCTGGTTTCTGAATTAAAAGTGAGACTTCCTTATTAATTTTTGTATTCCCCTATCCCTTTATGAAGTGAGTTTGCTAATCAATGAAATTAAACAGTGCTCAATATAAGACAGCTTTCCTTCTATAGAGCAGATTTTCTGGAGATTGGATCTCAAGATTATTCTGCGATTTAGGGTGAGACTTAAGTGCATGCGTGCATGCGCACACACACACACACACACACCCCAGAGCACATTATTACTTCATAAGTTCTGAAAATTTGATACCAAAATGCGCATGTGTGCATTAAATTCCAGTAGAAAGAAACAATAAATTCTGGGAAATTTTCTTTAAAAATACACTCTGTGCTAGGTCTTACTCATGAGTAAGATTTTTACAGGTAGAGCTAAGATGTTAAGTGCAATCCTTCAGGTAGCAGAACAGCTTGACCTAAGGCATTGAGACATAAAAGTGCCTGGAGTATTAGACCAATAACAAGTAACTGGCATTCTGGTTTGCAGTATATATAATAGACAATAAAACTGCATCTGGGTTGTGGGAGGTTTTGAATGCCTGGATTTACTCTGTGTCCCAGGGTTAAAAGGAGGCTTATAGGGTAGGGTATATGAAGGTAAGAAATGGCACCATGAGAATTGGGTTTCTGGGAAAGAACTACATAGGATAATTGAGACCATAAATCTGGGAGATGGACAAATGGAAGCCAATGTAGTGAAGATTTGGCAATGCCAGTAGGAATGGAGGCCAGAGAAAGACTGAAATTATTTTGAAGCTTTCCTCTGCCCTGGTTCATAACCTGAGTTTGGAGTGCTTTGATTCCAGGGTAATGATTTCACCTAACAGCCCTGGTTGGTGAATAACTTATGAGCTGGTCCTGAGGATAGGCCAAAAGTATATACTCTTCCTTTAGAAGAAGCCCATTCCATAGAGAACAGTAAATGGATAATGAAATATCCATATAGTAGAACATTATACAGGTGCTACAAAGAATGAAGCAGCAGGTTAATATAGGAAAATGGATTAAGTGGGACACTTATGAGATAGACCAAAATTAAATCATAAGTTAAAAAGATTGAAGCAGGAGAAAGTTGGAGCAACACAAGTGAAGGTTATGGGGATTAGAGATGGAACTCTGGGTGAGCATGACATGCAATTGCTAGAGGCAGCATTTGTAACCACTGGGCAGTGTGTGAAGGAGGGCGCTATTGGCACCTAATAGAACTGTGCTCTTACACCAAAGGCTGAAGAAGGAATGCTCAAACTGGAAAACTTTCAAGATGTGGGCCTAGTTAGTTTGATCAAATAATCATGAAGTACATGTAAGACTTGAAAACAGTTCCTACTCACCTCTGTTCAGGAATCTGCTGCCTTATACATTATGTTTCAGCCATAGTTCCCAAACTCAGCAGTCACTATCCTTCTATTCTTTTGTATATGTGGGTGCCACTGTTTGAACTGATTTTTCCTATGCTACTCTGAAAAACTTTGACTCATGCTTCAGTCACCAAATACAAAAAGAAAGAAAAAAGGAAGAAGTATTTGAGAGTGATAAAAAGAAAGAAGGAAAGAAGGAGAAAAGAAGAAAAGAAGGTCCTCCACATACCCCAAACCAAAATCAAAATCAAAAACATCTTACATAAGCACAAATCCTGGAATTTGAGTATAAATTCTGGAAGGACCCCTGGAAACACCATCTTTATTTTCCCACTACAAAACCTCGAATGCAAAGAGAAATGTAAATACAAAACACTAAAAAACTGAGGTGGCATCCTTTCAAGATTTTTTATATCTATAAATCCAATCACCTTATATCCTTATGATGGAAGCTTGTCCTAAACAAAACAGTGGAAAAGTATTGGGATTCAGTGGTAGAATGCTCAAGAGCTTCTGGGTTTGATCTTAATCACTCTAAATAAAAAAGAAAGATATAAAGCATTATCACCATTGTATTTTGCTAACAAGATCTTTTTTTTTTTTTTTATGCTGGGGATCGAACTCAGGTCCTTGCACTTGCGAGGCAGGCGGAGGAACTAACAAGATCTTTTAAAAGTCACTTATTTAATGTATTTGTTCTGTTTTACCAAGTAGACAGAATCCCCCATATCATACATGGATACATGCACACATATACACATGTATTCACACACACACAGGCTTTCCAAGTATCTTTCTGGACTGAATTTAAAGACAGAAACTCTGAGAAAGCAACAAAGCTAAAAGTGATGTTTAATTAAACACATTAGGGTAATGCAGAGGGAACAAGGACCACATATGTCGAGTTAGGGGTTGGTGATGAGTGATATCTTTTGGAAGTATAAATGGATGGGGAAATTTTAGTTGGCCAGAATGGTATACACTGGGGAATTATTGAGCTGCTTGTACTGACTTTCATTTAACTTTTGGTTCAGAGTATGTGTGCATAAAATTAGTAAGACATTCATTCAATCAACAAATAAGCATGAGAAAAGTTGAAATTGCTGAAAAAAATGCTAAGAAAAACATTAGATATTAAACATAATTTAAAAACCTTAAATGAAACCTTGATATTCTATTTGAGTTTTCATATTGATGAAGATTTTGAAAAATTTTAATACTCAATCACTCAAATGCACTGATAGTGATAATTAGACCCTCTGGATGGCAATTTAATAATACATATCCTTTGATTAAAATCCACATGAAACTATAAACAGAGCTGTGTATAGTAATTTGTATATAAGGATATTTATCATAGCACTATTTATGAACAAAAATTTGGAAATAACACAGATATTCCTAGACTACAAAATTATTAAATAAGCAAAATATTTATATTAGTCA